GTGATAACGGCCCCGGGGTGACCTTAGAGCGGTCTTCCAGTACCTCAAGGGGGCCGACAAGAAAGATGGGGAGAGGCTGTTCAGGAGGGCCAGTTGTGATAGGACAAGGGGTAATGGTTTTAAAATAGAGGGAGGTAGATTCAGGTTGGATATTAGGAAAAAATTTTTTACCATGAGAGTTGTAGAACACTGGAACAGGTTGCCCAGAGAGGTGGTGGATGCTCCATCCCTGGAGACGTTCAAGGCCAGGTTGGACGAGGCCCTGAGCAACCTGATCTAGTTGGAGATATCCCTGTTCCTTGCAGGGGGGTTGGACTAGATGACCTTTGAAGGTCCCTTCCAGCCCTAACCATTCTATGATTCTATGTACCAAGGTCCCTGCGGTGGGTATGGGGAATCCAGGTGGAGAAAATCCCCCTTCTCCATCCCCACTGGCACGGAGGCTGCCAAAATCAAGGGGAATGGAAAATACGGGGATGAGCAGGTCCCCAAATCCTTCATCAACATCTCCCTTTGCTGCCGATGCCGGCACTGGAGAGCGGATCCTGGGATCCAAGGTCCCATTCGGAGACGCCGCTGCACTGCATGACATCAAACCCAATGAGATGCCTTCTCCTCAGCTTGGGTGCTGAGGTGGCTCCTCCAAGCTCCTTCCTGCTCCTGTTTCATGAACCTTGTCTGTGTTTTTGCCCAGAAACCAGAGTCAAACCCACCGATGAGACAGTCACCGCCCGGTGCGGCAAGAACCCCAACCGTGTCCTGGTGTACATGTTTGTGCCACCGAGCTCGGAGACCTCCAAGGAGATCCTCAGGACGATCGCCATTGAGAAGGAGACCATGGAAGAGGTGGAAATCTACAACTGGAAGTTAATTAAAGGTGAGTCCTGTAACGAAACCAGCCGGCCACGGAGGAGGTGTGTGTGGAAACCTGGAGCTTTCCAAGCTTTGTTCAGTTTTTCAAGCTTTTCTCATGGTGCTCCAGACCTTTTGTAGTCAGTTGAAACACGCTGACAGCAGGTTGGCTTTTCCACCTCCCCCACTTTTGCACTCTTGCCTCAGTTGCAGGGGCTGGAAACCACTTTTGGCCCCCGTGTACCCTGCCACGAGCTGCAGCCCCATCCGGAGGCACAGCACGTGGGCAAACAAGGGGCTGTTCCTCCAAACCTGCCCACTTCCATGCCAAACGCACGTGGAAAACAAACCAAAAAATGTTCTGGTCTCTCCATATTTTTGTTTTTGTGCTTTTTTTTCCCCCTGGTCCACCCGTCACTGGGAGCAAAGTTTGCAGAGCTGCTGCAAAGGTGGACGCAGGGGGAATGAGTTGCCCCCAGCTCACTTTTTGGATGGGTGGATTTGGATGCTCTGGTTGGTGTGTTCTCCAGAGACCAGAGCACAGCAAACACACTGTCAAATGACACTGTCCTCTTGCTCTTTCCCCAGACCTTTAGCTTTGCAACACTTGTAGACCAGAGGAGCCTGTCTCTGCTGGACAAACATGGTCCAGTAGATATTTGTGTTGTGTTTCTTTTGGGTCTGGGGAAGTATTGCAGTGCCTCAACCCCGAGTCTTTGTTGGACATACTCTACTCCTGGTGAAAACTTGTGCCTTGAGCACTAGAGGTTGGTTACACCCAACCTATCATAGAATCACACAATGGTTTGGGTTGGAAGGGACCTCAAAGATCATCCAGTTCCAACCCCCCTGACATGGGCAGGGACACTGGGTGGATATATGGATATGGATACAGTGACCCTCAGCCCGTGTGGCTGGTCTCTTGGGTATGTTCATGTCTCACCTCTCTCCCTAAGGAGAAATTAGTTCCAGAGATGGAGCCCTGGCTGCCACCGTGCTTCTCTCCTCCCCCTGCCATCCTCTGTCCTCCACGGTGCCCCTCTCCCTGTCCTCCCCTCCTCCTCGGCAAAGCCTCCTTCACAATGGCACCTTGTAGCTGGAGGACAGCTCTGAGCCTGCACTGTCTGGGCCCCACCGTTTCCTCTCCTTACTCCTTGGCAGAGGTCGCCACCCAAACCTTCTCGCCACCTTCTGAGGCCAAAAGCTTCGCGTCTGCACGGAGCTCCCGAGCCCTGCCAGCCAAGGACAGGGGAGGCCCTTGTCCCCGAGGCCAACACAGCTCTTTTGCTTGGCAGAGCGAAGTGTTACTATTGGGAAAGAGCATGAGCTCAGTCACATATGGATTCCACCTCTCCATGGTCCATCACTCTACCAACAGAGCAGCATGTGTGGAGAAAAGAGGCTGCAAGTCACGCCTGGAGCCCGTCCATCTGCCTTTGTATGGGCTTATGATACCTACGTGGCCTCATCTATTTCTGTGCTGAGACGGTTTCCTCCACGAGGCAGGAGTTGGAAGGAGAAACTGGTGCCAACACCCAGCTGAAAGCTTTACCCGGCTTGCTGGTGGTGCACAACCAGCTCCCAGATGAGTTGCAGTGAGGGCTTCTCCATGTTTTTAGGATCTGAACACCTCAGGAGTTTTGAAAAGTGAATTTCTGATGTTTTAGAGCAGAAATTATCAAGGAGAATGAGGACAACAAAGGAACAGGCAGGATCAGAGAGGGACCAGCATGGTTTGGAGTCTCTGTTGTTGACTTCTGCCCTTCACCCTGCCTGGCTGGGGGCCTGGGCTGTGCTTGGAGGTGTGGTCCCCCCATGGACCTCTTTCGCACATTTACCCTGGTGTTGATTAGACATTGACCAAAATATTCCTTCCTATCCTGAAAACCTGCAGCTCTGGGACCTTCAGCAATCCCCAGTGTTTCACCACACTGGTGTACTCTCACACCCGGGCTGGAGGGGACCTGTGGGGTCCAGACCAGCTGTCCCCACACTCTTCTGGCATGTGCTTGAACATCTCCTGCCATGGACACTCTATGTACAGCCTATGTAATCTCTTCCAGAGCCACAAACCCCTTCTTAAGGGAAGACTTTTCCCAACGTGCGATCCTCCTGCAGCTCAAGCTTATGCCTTCTCATACCCTTCACCAGGACTGTGAAGAGCAGACTCCTTTCCTCTAACACATCTGAAGATGCCATCAGCTCCTGCCACTGTCCTCTCTTACACAGTTGAAGCAGTTGATTTTTTTTTTCAGTCTTTTCTTGATGTTAGAAATTTCTGGTCCTTTGGTCCTTCCCATACCTCTGCCCTGGACTCTCTCTGTCTTTCTTGAAGTGCAGAGCCCAAAACGGGGTGCGGGGCTCTGCTCAAAGGTTGTGTCCTGCTGGGATGGGTCTCATACATCCACGTGGACCCACTCTCCTGTCTCCATCCACCCGCCAAGGCTTTGTTTTGCAGATGATTTCGCAAATCTTGAGACCAGTTTCTTGAATTAAACTCTCTTCACTGCCCAGCCCAAAATTAAGCACCATGTTCAAAGAGTCACGTTGATTCCCCATGTAGTCAACAGAGAATCATAGAATGATAGAATCATAGAATGGTTAGGGTTGGAAGGGACCTCAAAGATCATCCAGTTCCAAACCCCCTGCCATGAGCAGGGACACCTTCCACTACACCAGGTCGCCCAAAGCCTCGTCCAACCTGACCTTGAACACTTCCAGGGATGGGGCAGCCACAGCTTCTCTGGGCAAGCAGTTACACTATGTCCTGTCCACCCAGTTTAGGTTGGGTAGGATGGCACCGTGGAAGAGCCCATCTCTCTCCCCTGTCTCTCCAAAATTAGGAAAGATGAATTGCCCCCTTGGAGATGGGGCTGGTCCTTTATTCGTTCCTTGTGGTCTTCTGGACTCTGCTTGTTTTTTGGTCTAGAGGCAGTGCCTAAAGCATAGAATCATAGAATGGTTTGGGTTGGAAGGGACCTTAAAGATGATCTAGTTCCAACCCCTCTGCCATGATCAGGGACATCTTCAACCAGATCAGGTTGCTCAGAGCCCCATCCAACCTGACCTTGAATGTTTTCAGGGATGAGGCATCTACCACCTCCCTGGACAACCTGTGCCAGTGTTTCACGACCCTCATTGTAAAACATTTCTTCCTTGCACCTAGTCTGAATCTCTCCTCTTTTAGTTTAAAACCATCACCCCTTGTCCTGTCTCTATAGGCCCTACTAAAAAGTCTGGCCCCATCTTTCCTATAAGCCCTCTTGAAAGCACCAGGAAAGGCAGTGAGTGCCCAACAGCCCCACCACCTCCCGCCATCTCATCCCAAACTTTGCAAAGAACGATCCCAGGATCTTCTAGCCAGGAAATGGCATCACCCTTTACCAACTCCATCCCGTGTTGCCTCTTCCGTGGACAGCACAGGCAGCGGGCTATTCTTCTCTGCGCCGCTTCATGCTCTCCTCGTGCGTGCTGGAGCACCGACAGCATTCCTCCGCCGCTCCCCAGCTCCTGGCATCCGTCAGAAACGACCGTCCCGGGGGCTGAAGGTCTCAGCCAGCTCTCCCAGGGCTCTTGGGTGAACATTATCTAGGTCGGTTGATTAAAAGATGTTTATCTCTCATAGCTCTTGTTTAAAATATCCTCTTGGTTACTAATGTCCTGGAAAGTGCTTCGTCAGCCGCGGGGACTATCAGCACACCCTCCTGCTCCTTTCTAAGTATAGACCAGGAGGATTTATTGAACACTTGTGCCTTTCTTGCGTCATTAACGGTTTTATTATCTCCATCCAGTATCTTCTTTTGTTACTGGTAGGACTTCTTTTCCTGAGCCACTTACAGGACTTATTAATAGTCCAAATAGCCACATATCTCTCCGGATGTCTTTGACTTCCTGTATTAATTTTCCACAGCCCGTAACATCTCGTTTATACGATTGCTAGCCGGTTCCCGTTCGTTACATACTCTCTTTATGTGTAATTGCTGCTGGGAATCAGGGAAAGTATCTTAACCAAATAAGGGGGACCACGTTGCCTCTCACATCTGCTGGCAGCAAGAGGGTGGACGCACGGGGAGCCCGGGTGAGAGGTGTGGAAGGATATGCCTGGCATACCTGCCCGGTTCGTCACGCTTCGCAGGCGAGTACGGATATCGTAACCCCTCATCCCACGGAAAGGTCGCTTCCGTTGCTAAATGCAAGTTCTGGTTTTCTTGGGTCAAACGTCTTGAGTCAGGCACCTCCGTGCTGGCACAGACAGAAATATCAATCTCTGCTGAGGTCATTCGTGGTTTTTTCTGTCCTGGAGGAGTTTCAGGGCTGAGGACAGAGAGATGGAATACTTTGGTCCCCGGCTGCTTCCAGGAAAGGAAAACACCTGAGGATGGAGGGTCTTCTGCAGTCGGGGAAGGTGGGTGATTGAGAGTGAGCAGAGAGGACAGGGATCCCAGAATCATAGAATCAGAGAATGGTTTGGGTTGGAAGGGACCTCAAAGATCATCTAGTTCCAACCCAGGATCCCACTGGTCTCACCTTTATTTCTCTTATAGTCTTAGGGGAGATCAGACCTCCTCCAGTGTGAGATGCTTTTTGGAGCAACAAAATCTTACTGCTTTCACCTGCTTCATGACGTTATCCGTGCCGCGTTCTGGTTTAATGAGCAGTTACTGTTTTCAAACAAGATCTCTCCTGGTCTTTAGCCAGCCCTGGATTCACTCTCAAACTCCCACCAGGCTTCAGCAGCAGGTCCTGCACCAAACCTGGACCCCGGGGCATCCAGAGCAGGCAGTGTCCCTTTTGCATCCCAGGAGGGGACAGAGAGGTGTGCCTCCAAACCTGGCTGAGCCTTACATCAAGTGTCGCAGAGCCTGATGCCCTGTGTTTCCCTCTGCAGGAATATTTCATCTGATCCAGACCAAGAAGATCAGCAAACAAGAATTCAAGCAAGAAGCACAGAACTTCAGGCTGATCACCAGGACGAACGAAGGTAGGGAGAGAAAAATCCCATTTCCATGCTCCTCCAGCAGACCCTGCACCCAACAACCCCCCGTGTTTTGCTGCCGTGCTCGTGCCATTCCGTGCACCCCGGCACGGCGTGGGGAGCAGAAGGCAGGGAGAAGGCTTGTGCAAACAGAGCAGAGCTGGGGCTGGCCTGTCTTCGCACGCACACGCAACGCTCCTGGTCAGCCGTCACATTTTCGCTTTATGGTATGGGAAAGGGCAGCCAGCTTTTCTAAAAGTGGATGCACGCTTGTGAAATCCAAAGGCTTTGTCTCTCCAAAGCCCGTAAAACTGTTTGATTTTTATATCTAATCCATCTGGCGTTCCGTGGGGAGGAAAAAAAAAAAAACAAAAAAAAGTGATGCAAGGGATTTGAAAAAAAATAAACTCTCGAAATATTTTTGAAAAATCATTCTTAATGCTCTTGGATGTGCGTAAATGTTC